AAAAAACCCCCCCCCCCCCCCCCCCCCCCGCCCCCCCCGCTCGAGGACGTTGAATCTGTTCAATAAACGTATGCAAGAGTGAAACTGTCCTCTTTTCTGGACCCCAGCACCAACTTTTGTGAGCCCTGTGTACCACGGTGCCGTCGTGTTTGTCGGACGTTTGCACAGCTGTTTTCGTTTTCGTGATTAGACTGTCAACAACTCTCCATGCGCCTGCACACACTCTGTGCGTTTGTTGTGTGTACAACAGCAACATAAGCGACAGTTTCTCCCCTACCACCGGGACCCTTTACGCCTGAAGGTATGACCCACTTCCCTGACTGGAAGCGCGAGGGAGACGGCCAGGTGTTCCGAGGGACGCACTACCTTGTGATATCCAAGAAAAGGGACGGGATGAAGGCCGTCCGCTCCCTCATGGACGAGGCAAGTTCACCGATAACCCTGCGACCCTCTAGAAAGGTTATTCATGCATCGCTCGCTCTCCCCCTCTGCCCCCCCCCCCTCTTTCACTGTCCGTCCCTCTCTCCTTGTACCTCTCTCGCCCTGTCTTTCTCTGCCCCCTCTCTCTCATGCGTCCCCCTCAGTCTTTCTGCCCCCCGCTCCCTCTCTCCCCCAGAAAGAGTAAAAAGAATGGTACATAGAGTTGTCGAAGACTGAAGAGCTCTGGATAACAAACGTTGATAGGTTCACAACTGACTGTTTCTGTTGTAGTTGGAGGCGTGAGTTGTCAAGGGCTTTGGTCCCCACCAATGATGCACATCCTGCTTCACCTCTATCCCGAGGGGTCCTCAATGCCAAAAAATGTTTCGCTGATCCTTCACCCACCCCAACATACATGCAGTACTCTCTCCCAGCCTTACGTTGTTCCCTACGTTGCAATACGTGGTGACTGTCCGATGTACGTACGAGGGCAGGTTTTCAGCCCATTCCTCCCGGCGTTCGGAGACGAAGCCGGGCGTGCCGACGGATATCCCTTGCCACCCCAAGGCGGCACAGTGGGCGAGAGCGCTGCAACAACAACAGGGGGAGCAGCGACGTCAACAGCAACGTCGCACGCAACGGAAGCAGAAGAGGTGGTAGTGACTTCCGCGACAACAACGGCAGCGTCAAGAAGATCACTGAGAGAGACGGACACGAAAGACACCGCACGTCCTCTCGGTGGAGGCCTCTTGCGGCGCGCCCTCCCCGCCAACGTAGGGTTGATGACGCTCATGCGGGTGTCGAACGAAGAAGATGAAGAAGAAGAAGGTCGGGGGCACCATGGCGGCGGCGGGGCGGGTGGGGGGGGCAACCAGGCGCGAGGGCTCGGCGATCTCACCCTCCTGGTAGGAGAAGCTCCGCAGCAAGAATGCCCGAAAAGGGAACTGTTGTAGAACTGTTTTTTGCCGTATACTTCTTCGGAGTGTTGGGTGTCTAGTCTTTATCAAGTAGCCAACGAATGGGACAACATGGGCGCACAAGAAACGAGGAGACCAGCGACCCCATCTAGTTTTATTGAATCCAGTCTTCAACACCCTGGTAATGGAGATGTTTTCTGTTTCAGCAAGTTGCTCCCCCCTTTTTCCTTCCCGCTCTCGCACTGGTTGCCCTCGACCTGATTATCACTTGCCGCCCACAGGTTCGCCTGGCCCACCGCTACGCCAAGGGGGAAGACGCGGTTCTTTCTCTTCCTGCTTCGGTGGACTTGTCGCGGCTCGTCCTCGGACACACCCTCGTAAAGGCCACCGAGATCGCGCTCACCGGAGGCGGTGCACTCTCCTCCCGCACGCAGAGGCTTAAGTGGACGTCAGCGACAACGATGACTGCTGGCGGAGAGGAAGAGTCCGTGTTGGCTGAAGAAGGCGGCGGCGATGAACCGCCTCATGTGGACAGGCTTCTTGGTGTTGGCAGCGACGGGAAGTGGACGGCTACCCTCGGCCCGATGGAGATAAAAACCTACCGCCTTTCGCTCGTCCCCGAGGCGTGAGATGCAAGACATGATTTACATGTGCGGTTCATTTGCGTAGTGTAGTTTTCAATGTAGAAGTACGTGTTGGTCATGTGGACTCTCCATGAACGGGCAACACCAGCTTGGGTTACGGGACGCACATCAAGCGGATGAAATGGTGCTATGTTTGCGTAAACGGCTACCCGCCACACAGTCGACGTACAGGATTTTTTGTCTGAATTTAGCTCTCCTATGTTTTCACACGCAGCTGTAACGGAAAGAGTCTCTTCGTTCCAAGGTCTTCGACAGGCGTTCAAGAGAATGGCTAATTGGAAATTTCGAAGTTCACGTACAAAGACGCCGCCAAAATAGCTGTCTAGACTACATTACACATACATGCTTCGATATATTTTTGCTGATGGTACACGGGACGCAGCCCGTAACTACCGGGACAGAGAGGCAGGAGGTGTTTCGGTTAAAACGGGTGGGCAGAGTGTATGATGTGTGTTGATGCCCAGACGTCTTCGAGGTCGTAGAGGGGCAGGGAAGGGGGCTACTTTGCAAGTGTGAGCTTTGACAGCAGTACCTATGCTTCGTTGTTTCGTGTGTGTATCTAACCATGATCCTGCTTCACGAACACTTCGAAGTATGAAGGTAGACAGACGTGGTTGATGTCGGGGCCTCTCCTTTTCTCACAACCCTAAGCCGGGAAGTCGTGGAACACTGTTTGCTCAACTGGCACGAAAACTTTGGTGAAAGTAATCATGACAATGGTTCGAACACTACCGACACACTACCGCAGGTCTGGCTACAACGTAGTGTGCGAAGCATGCTTCCGCTAGTTTCGACTGTTTTTCTTGGGGACCCTCTACAGCCGAAGTATGTATTTTTTTAGAGGGGGAGTCAGGCAGCTGGCGAAGCAAGAGCGGCAGATCAAGTGTTGTCTGTCCGTGAGCACAATCGGCATGACTCAGCGATAGATACCTTTTGCTTACACGTACAAGAAAGGGTAGTTTCGTGAGTGCGTATGCGTGCTGCGTGTTTCCTGCTGCAATGTCCGATGATGTCACCGCTGCCTCTCAGAAGGCAACAGCAGCAACAACCAATGAATGAGGGATCGTCAAAAACTCGCAGTTCCGCGTGAACTGTATGTACGCGGAAAACGGCCAAGCTTAGCAGGAACGGCAGCAGTAGTTTACCACAAAATTAGGCTCTGGGGCAACTGCACTGCACACCGCCCGACGTGACGCCATAGCGTTCGGCCAGCAGCACTACTTCTGTTCTTTTTTCCGAGAGCTTTGGTGTCGAACCGCTATAACGCTGCGACCTGACACGAGAAAACGAGAGCTTCGTTCTCATATCAACTCGAGTATTTTTTGCCAGAACAAGAAAATGAGTCAAAATCGAGGAACCATTTTTTTTTTTTGTGTTTTTTTCCTTGTCTTTTTGCCCCCCGCCCACCCAGTGCTTCGCAGCAGCAGCAGCAGCGACAAACGACCTAGCGACACGAGTCAAGCGTACTCACTAAATCGAATTTCGCATGCGGCTGAAAAAAACTAGGCCCACGCTGCGCATCCCATTTACTCCTGCATCAATCCGAGCAGAGGAGATGCCAAAACAAGGAGCACAAAGTAGCAGCAACGAGTTCATTCGCTCTGAGCCAGTCATCTATTCCTCCGCCTAGTGAGGGCGCAAGGACGCAGCAGCCTCGCACGAAGCTCTCAGCAAACTCTTCGGGCAGCCCACGCCATCATATGCGTCTTCGCCAAAGAATCAGCGGCGACGCAAGACGGTCTGTCTTGGCTTGATGACCGCCTTAGCGCTTGGCTCCCCCACGGGCCCTGTCCAGTTTTTACGTACAATCGAAGATAGACAAACAATTAGAGGGAGGGGACGAGTACAGGAAAATGAAGCCGGGGGGGGGGGGGGGGTT